TTTTTTTTACCATAGAGAGGATCCTGCGATCATCCACCACTGTTGCCTTCCGTGGATGGCCATGCCTTTTTATGTTGCTGAGCTCACCAGCGCGTTTTTTCTTTCCCCAGAATGTACCAAAGTGTTGATTTGGCCACTCCTAATATTGCTGCTATCTCTCTGATGGGTTTGTTTAGTTTTTGAAGCCTTACAATGGCCTGTTTCACTTGCATGGACAGCTCCTTTGAACGCATAATGTAGGTTCACAGCAATAGATTGCAAATGCAAATACCACACTTTTAATCAACTCCAGACCTTTTACCTGCTTAATTGATGAATAAATAACAAGGAGTAGCCCACACCTGGCCATGAAACAGCTTTTGATTCAATTGTCCAATTACTTTTGGTCCTTTGAAAAAGGTGGGATGGCTACTCTTAAGAGCTGTAATTCCTAAATCCTTCCTCCAATTTGGAGAGTGTGCACTTTCAGCCCATATCCATTATATAGCTATAGCTTCAATATGTTTTGGTAAATACCTGAAAAAAACTAAAATTCTGCCTGTGTCCAAATATATATGGACCTAACTGTGTATAAGTCTGGCTGTGTGGAAAGGATCTATGTCCTGAAGAAGCCCTAGTCAGTGGGAGGAGCGAAAGATGTAGGCGGAAAGGATCACGTCCTCGTTCTTCGTGTGATCCCCTGGAGATGCAGGAGTGCACACTGGCTCTCTAGCCCAGTCTGTTAGCATGTGCAGTCATGTGCCGAGCATATGCTGTCTTGGACTTCTACATGGACATTACTACTGATGGACACTGTAATATCCAGCTATTGAGAACGCTTGTATGGACCTCTGCTGCCCTCACATGGTGAGATTGTTTCATTACACCCTTTCATTGTGCTGGTACAAGTTTATACATTGTGGCTTTTAGGCAATCAGAGTCAATCAGCTCCCCGTCATTGGTAGTCTGGACCTGGTGTGTGCCTGTCAGATGACCAGCTTGAAGGTTTTGTATATGGACTATGTATATGTATATGTATATGGACATAGAGCTTAGTGGCCTTCCTTCAATAACTACAACCTGCATTATATACACTTGGAGGAACTGAGGTTGCCCTTTTGTTGCTCTCCCCTCTTGCTGTGATATGATACTCAGCGTCAACATTTGGAACCTTTCCACACAGCCGGAACTATATATGTCCTCACTTACCACATACAGTTCCAGGCGCTGCATCAGAGGGACTTCTGGGGGATCTATTTCCACTCTTACAGGATAGGGGGACTGTAGGGTTTATAGGGAGGGGTGGGGGGTAGCCTTTTGGTGCTCTGGTTCGGGGATTGGGGGGGTGGCTTGTGGGGGTGCTGGGGTTGCCCTGGGAGGGAGGGTTGGGGGTTGTGTGGGACTGGAGAGGGAGAGATTGGTGGGGGATAAAGTGCAGCGAGGGGTGGATAGGAACAGGGTATGTGCATTGCCAGACTCATTCACCTTTCCAACCGCTCTGTCTCCGCCCCCCTTCTCTGCCAATCCCTCCACTGGCTTCCGATTGCGCAACGGATCAAATTCAAAATCCTAACGGTGACGTACAAAGCTGTCCACCATACTGCCCCGAACTACATCACTGACCTAATATCCAAGTACCGCCCAGCACGCACACTCCGCTCCTCACAAGACCTCCTTCTCTCTAGTTCCCTGGTCTCCTCCTCCCATGCCCGCCTCCAGGACTTCTCCAGGGTGTCACCCATCCTCTGGAACTCCCTGCCCCAACCCATCAGATTATCACCTACTCTCCTCTCCTTTACGCGCACCCTGAAAACCCATCTCTTCAGGGAAGCCTACCCCACCCCCTGCTAACTTGCCGACCTCCTCCACTCTTCCTACCACTCCATCCCCCACAGCTATCTCCTCCTGTGCCACCATCCCCTCCCTCCTAGATTGTAAGCTCGAAAGAGCAGGGCCCTCAAACCCCTCGTGTATCACATTGTATTGGTATTGTTCTGTCACATGTTCTGTCCCCCTTTGTAATGTACAGCGCTGAGCGAACTATTGGCGCTTTATAAATACTGTATAATAAATAATTGTATAATGATATGATACGTGTTGTTTACACTTTTTACGTCCTTAGTAAATTATATTTATACTGCTGATAAGCCTTTGAGGTGCTAGATCCTTTTCTTTGGGCTTTAATAGTGCATTGGTTTTGGATGCACCTCCCCTAATATTTAGGGTTAGGCATCAGCATACATACCATTTCTGGGACAAGGCCTTGGGCCGTGGGAGTATTTTTTTACATATGGGATATAAAGGTTAGGCTGAACAAATGCCATTTGTTTGTCTACTTATGTAACCAGAGGTCATAATAAGTCTTACATACAGTAGGTGTTAGGTGGCAGATTTTAGACAGTCATTTCCAGCCCTCCCTAAACTGAGAACTGCCAATTCAACTTTCTAACCCCATGTATGTGTCCCCCCTGAGGCTGGATTCACACTTAAGCACAGCGTCTTTGAGCATTTTTCGTGCTTTTTTGCATGTTTTCATGCAGTGATTTTAAGAGTTTTTGCCCTTTGGCATTTCTTTATTGGTCAGTAGAGAAAAAAAAGTAATCTGTTGCACCATTTGTTGCTTTTTTAACTTTTCCATCAGTTTTTTAATATCATTCATTATAATTTTTTTTGTTAGGGTAAGGGGTTAGCGCTAGGGTTAGGATTAGGGGTTAGGGTTTGTATAAGGGGTTAGGGGTTAAGTTTAGGGTTAGGTGTTGGGGTTAGGGGTTAATATTTTATTTATTTTCTTATTATTATTTATGTTTTTTAAATTTTGTTATGGTTGGGGTGATAATAAAAAAAATTGAACAAATGAATGTAACATAAATAGAATAAATACAGAAATAACTAAAAATCATAAATAAATAATAAATAAAATAATTGAATAATATGTAATAATAAATAAATAATACATAACCCCTAACCTTAATTCCCAACCCTAAAATATATTAAATAACTTAATAATGTATTATTATTAATAATAATAATAATAATTATTATTATTATACAGGATTTATATAGCGCCAACAGTTTGCTCAGCGCTTTACAATATAATGGGAGACAATACAGCAACAATACAGTTCAATACAAGAGGGAAAGGAGGGCCCTGCTCCTTGGAGCTTACAATCTAGGAGGGAGGGGCTAGTGGTACAAAAGGTAGTAACTGTGGGGAATGGACTGGTTGGAAGAGTAGAAGATTCCATTATTAACTGAGGGCAGGATAGGCTTCCTTGAAGAGATGAGTTTTCAGAGATCGCCTAAAAGTTATCAGAGTAGGCGATAGTCTAAAAAATTGGGGTAGAGAGTTCCAGAGGATGGGGGAAGCTCTGCAAAAGTCCTGGAGACGAGCATGGGAGGAGGAGACAAGGGAGCTAGAGAGCAGGAGGTCTTGCAAGGAGCAGAGAGGACGGTTTGGGTGATATTTGGAGACAAGATCGTTGATGTAATTTGGGGCAGAGTTATAAATGGCTTTATACGTTATTGTTAATGTTTTGAATTTTATCCGTTGGGCAATGGGAAGCCAGTGGAGGGATTGGCAGAGAGGGGTGGCAGATACAGAACAGTTAGTAAGGTGAATAAGTCTGGCAGCAGCGTTCATGATAGACTGAAGAGGGGATAGCTTGCGATTCGGTAGGCCAATGAGGAGGGAGTTGCAATAGTCAAGGCGAGAGATAACCAGGGAGCGAATAAGTTGCTTAGTGGTTTCCGAGGTTAAGAACGGCCGAATCTTGGAGATGTTGCGGAGGTGAAGTCTACAAGATTTGGAGAGCGATTGGATTTGGGTCTGAAAGGACAGATGGGAGTCTAGGATTACACCTAGTACCCTGGCATGAGGGGAGGGACTGATGATTGTGTTATTGATCTTGATGGAGAAGTCAGGGGAAGGAGCATGGGCTGGGGGGAATACTAAGAGCTCAGTTTTGGAAAGATTGAGTTTGAGGAAGTGAAGTGACATCCATGCTAAATATGTCACTTAGTAGGTTAGTAATGCGAGAGGAGACTGAAGGGGTGAGGTGAGGGGTAGAAAGATAGATTTGTGTGTCATCAGCATAGAGATGGTACTTAAAGCCATGGGAGTTTATCAAGTGACCAAGGGAGAAGGTGTAGATGGAGAAGAGAAAGGGTCCAAGGACAGAACCTTGAGGGACCCCTATAGAAAGAGGGAGTGAAGAGGAGGAGGCAGCGTTATAGGTAACGCTGAAGGAGCGCTGCGATAGGTAGGAGGAGAACCAGGAGAGAGCGAAGGCCAAGAGAGTGGAGTTTTTTGAGGAGGAGGGGATGGTCAACCATATCAAAAGCCACAGAGAGGTCAAGTAGTAAGAGTACAGAGTAGTGGCCATTGGTTTTAGCTGTTAGTAAATCATTAGTGAGTTTCAGTAGGGCAGTTTCAGTGGAGTGTAGTGAGCGAAAGCCAGAATGTAAAGGGTCAAGAAGGTTGTTGTCGGTGAGGTGGGAGCTCAGGCGATTGTAGACTAGGCGTTCTAGGAGTTTAGAGGTAAATGGCAGCAGGGAGATGGGTCTTAAGTTGTTCAGGTTGGTGGGGTCCAGGGAGGGCTTTTTAACCACTAGCCTACAGGGCACTTATACCCCCTTCCTGCCCAGGCCAATTTCCAGCTCTCAGTGCTGTCACACTTTGAATGACAATTGCGCGGTCATGCAACACTGTACCCGTATTGAATTTTTATCATTTTTTTTGTGACAGATAGAGCTTTCTTTTGGTGGTATTTAATCACCTCTAGGTTTTTTTTTTTTCTTAAACAAACCAAAAACTATTGAAAATTTTGAAAAAAAAAGTTTTTTCTTAGTTTTTGGTATAAAATGTTGTAAATAAGTGATTTTTTTCCCTTCACTGATGTGCGCTAATGAGGCTGCAGTGATGGGCACTGATAGGCTGCACTGATGGACACTGATAGGTGGCACTGATGAGGAGGCACTGGTAGGTGGCACTGATGGGCATTGACAGGCATCACTGATGGGCACTGAAAGGCAGTACTGATATATGGCACTGATAGGCGGCACTGACTGGCACTGTTAGGTGGCACTGACTGGCACTGATAGGCGGCACTGACGGGCACTGATAGGCAGCACTGACGGGCACTGATAGGCGGCACTGACGGGCAGCACTGATAGGTGGCACTGATTGGCATTGATAGGTGGCACTGACTGGCACTGATGGGTGACACTGAAAGGCAGCTCAGATGGGCACTGATATGTGGCATTGATGTGGCACTGATGGGCACTGGCACGTGGCACTGTTCAGCACTGACAGCTGGCACTGTCGGACACTGACAGATGGCACTTCTGGGGCCACACTGATCATCAGTGCCCTGATGATCAGTGTACATGTCCCCTCCGTGGAATGCCGATTACCGCTCTCCCCTCCTCTCGAGCTGTCAGTGTGACGGCTCGTGAGGAAAGAAATGCCAATAACCGGCATTTTCCTGTGTACATCTGATCAGCTGTGATTGGACACAGCTGATCACATGACCGAGCCGACATCTTCGGCTCTTTTCGTAGATCGGTGATCTGCTGTGTCCGAGGGACACAGCGCACTGCCGATCGCGGTGCTGTGCGCTGAGAATGGGAGGACATCATATGACATCCTCCCAGAATGAGAGAACCACCTTGCACCCGTCATTACACTATATGGCGGACGGGAGGTGGTTAAGTATGGGAGTGATGTGCGCGTGCTTTAGAGGGGAGGGGAACGCACCAGTAGAGAGGGAGAGATTGAAGATGTGAGTGAGGGAGCATAGGATGGAAGAAGAGGGTGACCGTAGTAGTTGTGAGGGGACAGGATCCAGGGGGCAGGTAGTGAGACGGGCTTCTGAGAAAACCTTAGTGACCTCTTCGGTAGTAGCAAGGTCAAATAATATTAATAATAATATTGTATTTATTTTTTGTTAGGATTAGGACGTTTTATTATTATTATTTATTTGTTTAATTTTTTTATTTTTTTTAGGATTAGGATTTCAATATTATTTATTAATATTATTATTATTATTATACAGGATATATATAGCACCAACAGTTTGCTCAGTGCTTTTCAATATAAAGGAGACAATACAACAACGATACAGTTCAATACAAGAGGGTTAGGAGGGCTCTGCTCCTCGGAGCTTACAATCTAAGATTATTTATATATTTGTTACATATTATTCATTTATTTTATTTATTTATGATTATTTTTATTTATTTGTGTATTTATTTATTTTTATTATTATTTTTTTCCCATTTTTTCATTTGAGCAGAAAAATGCTCCAAACTTGTTTGAACTTCAGCCGTTTGGCTTCAGGCGACTTGGAGTAGAGATGTGAAACATCTCCATTGAGATTATTGATTTTTTTTTTTCCTCAAACGTTTTGGAGCTTTGAGCTATAAATTGCTCAGGTGTGAATGGGGCCTAAAACAAGAGATTCTTGAACTTGATTTACTAGATGACTTTTTATTTCTGAGATTCCATAAGAAATAGTATGTTAGGGTCTGCTTTTGAGGACCACTGTATTTCCAGGTTGTCCACCTCTGGTTCAGATCCTTGATCTACATTAAATGTGCAATGTTGTGTTGGTCAGTTCATTAACCTGTTACAATTCTCTTCTTAGAAGTGAGACAAACGATGACTCAGTTTTGGGAGGAACACTCACGTGATGCAACGGTGGAAGAGATGATGCTGGATTCAAGTGCTGCGATTCTCTCAAAGGAGGAGAAGCCAGAGATCATATCATTGTTGCCTTGCTTAGATGGATTGAATGTGTTGGAAGTTGGCGCTGGCATTGGGTAAGGGTTCCTGAAAGCGTTCAGTAGACCGAATTAAATGTTCTTCTTTGCAGACAAATCCTAAATCTTTACAGTGTGTTTGGCAAACGCCTGTTCCATCACCACGCAACAGATCAACTCAGTTTTGCTCCTCATGATGCCCTGATGCTCTGTCACCAATATTAAAGTTTCTAGGTTCTGTGTCTGTTCCACAGTTCCGTGTCTGTTCCACAGTATATACTTAGGGCTTTGCAAAGCTATTCACCCTCTGAAGCTGCGTGTACATTCATTCCTATCATACATACATTCCTATCTTTGTCTTCCATCTGTGGCTGACAGTGGCAGGGTGACATTTGCAGTGAATGGAGGATGATGGATCCACACTGACAGATCCCAGGCTGAAATTACCTAGGCAGTGGGGAAGATAAAACGCTGTGACAGCAGGCAGCCCAGCCCACATAAACACAGAGAAACACCTGAACTGAGCGATCCCACACAGTGACAGATCCAACACAATACACCACCGCCAACACTGACACAGATCAGCAGGCACTAGAAGAGCTGGCTGTGGGATTGTGATGATGACGTCACTTACTGACACATTGCACATGTGATGATGTCACACTCACACAGACACGAGACATCAGAGTCAGACATTACCTTCCCCCGCAGGCGCAGCTCTGCCTCCACTGATGAACGGAAGAGAAGGGGCTTGAATTCAACAGTGATCAGCAACCACCAGCCGACTTGCAGTAAGGGACTGAGTCTGAGAGGAACACTGGAAGGAGTGGCAGCTCAGCGGCTACACTTGCCCAAGACACCCTGCATCTTCCTATGTACTTTCTTTTTTCCTCTGCTACCCCTCCCCTAAGCTGAAGGATCATTCATGACGTGGCGGCGTCCCACACAGAGAGAGTGCTGGCCTGTGCTGTGCCCAGGTGCCCCTAGGTGGCAGTGCACCCTAGGCGGCTGCCTAGTTTGCCTAGTGAAAGCATCGGCCCTGCATGAGAGCACAGCGTGGTCATTTCTCTAGCTGTACTGGTAACTCAGTGTGCTTTCATCCAATGATCAGACTTGTCCTGACACCCAACCCTTTCATTGGGAAGATCAGTGGGCATCTGATTCTGCTCCCCAAGCTTTTATTCAGCTGAGAACAGAGGGAATGTGATCACTTATAAAAAAGGGAAAAACAGCATAATGCTTTTTTTAAATCTATGCACAAATGTTTTGACTTTCATTTCTAATTTAAACTACATTGTTTCTTTTACAAGGTGAGGGTTTACATATACTTTAAATTTCTGCTGGTTTTGTACTAAAGACACAAAATAGAAACTTACTTTCTTGAAGAGTAGCACAGTTCATGTTTGTGCGAATATGCAATTGCAATGACATTGATACTGTTGTATTGTCTAATGAGATGTATAAGCAAAGCCAAATAACTATAAGTGGATAGTTTGCTGTGACCTGTATGCTGTGATCTCAGACCTTGCACCCGGAACATTGTTTATAAGGAACCATCGAAGATTTTTCTTAGTATATTAGTCAGTATATTCCTGTAAAATCCAGGCTATTCCACAGCACAGCTGCCAGATATGTAGTCTGTCTTGAACAATCTTTACCAAGTAATTTTAGACCTGTTAGTTTAACTTCTATAGTTGGGAAGATACTGGAGAGTTTAATAAAAGACCACATAGATGAGTTCTTGCTGGAAAAAAATATTTTAAACAACAAACAGCATGGATTCATGAAAGACAGAAGTTGTCAAACAAATCTAATTTCTTTTTATGAGGGGGTGAGCAAAACCATGGACAGAGGGGTGGCGGTAAACGTGGTATACTTGGATTTTGCAAAAGCGTTTGACACAGTTCTCCACACACGGCTAATGTGTTTGGTAAAGTCTATGGGCTTGGAAAAATCCGTAAACATCGTATTCAGAGAGCAGTGGTTAATGATTCATACTCTGAATGGTCTAGGGTTGTCAGTGGTGTACCCCAAGGTTCAGTGTTGGGACCCTTACTTTTTAATATATTTATAAATGATATAGGGTCTGAGATTGAAAATCCCATTTCAGTCTTTGCAGATGACACCAAGCTGTGCAGTGGAATAACGTCCTTACAGGATGTCTTCAGTTTACAAGCTGACCTCAATGTACTGTTTAAATTGGGCAACGACGTGGGAAATGAGATTCAATGTTGATAAATGTAAGGTTATGCACTTGGGGGCTATGAATGTGCATGCATTATACATACTAGGGGGGTACAACTGGGGGAACCAATGGTGGAGAAGGTTCTGGTAGATCACAAGCTTAATAATGGCATGCAATGCCAAGCTGCGGATTCTAAAGCAAAAAAAAATCCTCTCCTGTATTAAATGATTATTATACAGGATTTATATAGTGCCAACAGTTTGCTCAGCGCTTTACAATATAACGGGAGACAATACAGCAACAATGCAGTTCAATACAAGAGGGATATGAGGGCCCTGCTCCTTGGAGCTTACAATCTAGGAATGAGAGATATCATATTACCCCTGTACAAATCATTAGTAATACCTCATCTGGAATATGCAGTTCAGTTTTGGGCACCAATTTACAAAAAGAACATTGGGGAACTGGAGAAAGTACAGAGAAGGGCAACCAAACTGATAAGAGGCATGGAGGAGATCAGCTATGAGGAAAGATTAGAGGAACTGAATTTATTCTCTCTTGAGAAGAGGAGATTAAGGGGGGATATGATCAACATGTATAAATACATCAGTGGTTCATATAGTGAACTCGGTGTAGAGCTATTCACCCTGAGGTCATCACAGAGGACAAGGGGGCACTATTTATGTCTGGAGGAAAAGAAATGTAATCTCCAAACACGGAAAGGTTTCTTCACAGTGAGAGTTGTGAAAATGTGGAATAGACTCCCTCAAGAGTTGGTTCTGGCCAGCTCAGTGGATTGCTTTTAAATAGTCCTGGATTCTTTCTTGGATACACAGAATATAACTGGTTACTAACATTTATAGGTAAAGTTGATCCAGGGAATATCCGATTACCTCTGGGGGGATCGGGAAGGAATTTTTTTCCCAGCAGGAGCAAATTGGATCATGCTTTTCAGGGTATTTTTTGCCTTCCTTCCTCTGTATCAACTGTGGGTATAGGATTATAATTTATTTTTTTTTTTTTATGGTTGAGCTGGATTGACTTTTGTCTTTTTTCAGCCAGACTAACTATGTAACTGTGTAACTCGCAGTGTTGTCAATGAAACAAACTTTGGAAATGAGTTTTACATTAATCACGTACCTTGCAAATTCAAATAAAGATGCTAAAGTAAATATAGAGCAGCGGTCTCTAAACTGTGGCCGGGGGCCGGATGTGGCCCTTTGCTTGCCTTTATCTGGCCCTTGGGGCACTGTTTCATCAACTGTCACTGGTGATGGAGCACCATTACTGACACCATCAATGAGGAATTATACTTCTCACTGATATCAACACTCCTCCTATTAAAACTGATGATGGGGCTTTTCTGCTCCCACTGGCTACAGTCCGGCCCCCCTAAAGTCTGAAGGACCGCAAATTGGCCCTTTGATTAGAAAGTCTGGAGACCCCTGATATAGAGCAATACATTTTGTTAATATTTATGTATTGGTTTTTACTTTTCTTTCACTTTCTGTATCTCAAGCAAGGATGAAACCTGTACTGAGGTAGTATGGGAGTTGCTGGTGCTGACCTCTGCTTTTAAAAAATACTCTGTACCTGGCTGTCATACTAGTCCAGCAGCTGTAGTATTTTCTGTCTAACCAGTATGCAGATCATTAGTTCTGACTTTGCTTTCTTGATCTACAGGCAGCTAGTCATTTCAGATTAGCTTTGGCATCTTCGTTTTCTTTAAAGTGGAATTTCACTCTTTCAGTCAACAATGACTATTTTAACCCTTATGTTAATAGCATTAGTAAATAGATAGGAAAGTATATCATATTTACTTGTTTAAGCTTTTTTTTTACATTTCTTTAGTTACTTCCTGGTTTCCAGGCCTAGAAAAATGTTGTCTTACATCCCAGGAGTCTTCAGGAGGGGTTTTCTCAGCTAAGCACACCCTCCTGCCTGCATCTGCATGCCTGAACTAAGGGCAGATGGATTTCATTAGGTAATTGCAGCATGAATGATCTGCCCTTACTCAAGATGGCCATGGCCAGAAATGCTGGGGGGGGGGGGGGTGTTTTTCAAAGTGATTTCTCAACTTTAATAAAACATGGAGACATGGCTGGATGGGGGAGTTTACTTTGAATATTAAAAATGAATTAAATAGCGTTTTTGGTTTTGTAGTGTTCAGATGAAGTTTAGTTCTGCTTTAAGTACAGGTTTCCTTTAACTGCTTGCCCGCCACCCTATAGCTGAAATACTGCTAGAGGGTGGCAGGGCTGCGAAAAATCACACATATATATATATATATATATATATATATATATGTGTGATTTTGTATTTCAGCTGTCAGTCACCGGGTCCCGGGCTGAGATTCTCTGCCGACACCCAGCGATCACCGAGTATCACTGACGGGGGAGAGGTCTGTATGTAAACAATACAGATCTCTCCCCTGTCAGCTCCTACACATTGATTTGTATGACTCTGCATAGCAGAGCCATACAAAGCAGCGTGCTTACACTGTAAACCACTGATCGCCCCAGATGTTAACCCCTTCTTGCCCAGTGTCATTAGTACAGTATCAGTGCTTTTTATTAGCACTGATCACTGTATTAGTGTCACTGGAGATGTTATTGACAGTTAGTCAGTTCTCCCCAGTGTCAGAATGCCCTCCGCAGTCCCGCTATAAGTCGCTGATTGCCGCCATTACTAGTATTAAAAAATAATTAAATACATTCCAGTATACTGTATATACCGCCATTTGTAGATGCAATAACTTTAACGTAAACCAATTAATTTACATGTATTAGGATTTTTTTTAGCAAAGACATGCACCAGAATACATTTTGGCTTAAATTTATGACGAAATTTGATTTTTAAAATTTTTTTACTGGGCATGTTTAATAGCAAAAAGTCAAAGATATTGTTTTTTTTTCTCAAAATTGTCGTCTTTTTTGCTTATAGCACAAAAAAAATAAAAACCGCACAGGTGATCAAATACCACTGAAAGAAAGCTCCATTTGTGGGAAAAAAGGATATAAATCGAATTTAGGTGCAGCGTTGCATGACCGCATAATTGTCAGTTAAAGTAAAACAGTGCCGTATCGCTAAAAGTGGCCTGGTCAGGAAGGGGTATAAATTCTTTGGAGGACAAGCGGTTAATAAAGTAATACACAAGGTTACCATGAAATTGTTGATCGTAGCTTGACAGGATGTAACTACTATTATGTAAAACAATACCTAATAAGTTTAAAAAGAACATATTTTTGACCATGTGTTAGGATGTAACATGTGTCATGTTTAGGATGTAAAATGAAGCCCCCCAGGCTGCATCCCTCTTAGACTACTTTCACATGGATTGGAACAAAATAACGCATATGCCATGTTTTTACTGTGTTTGCAGTGCATTTTTAACATGATGTGTGACTCAAAAACCTGCGTTTTTGATGCATTTTTACAGCGTTTTTATCGATTTTAGTGAGAAGGTGCCTTTTTTTACCGCACCAAAAATGCAGCAAGCGTGACTTGCACTGGACCCACAAGGGATCAGTATGAAGAGTTCCATAGGAATACATGGTCACACACTTTGCTTCCGCATTTTTTAACATAAAAGCGGAAGAAAAATGGATCAGTGTGGAAGCAGCCTTACTGAATATCGACGTTCTTCTCCCTCAGGTTCCTGTCGTATATAAAATTTTGCACATCTGTGTATGGGAGGGGGGGGGGGGTTTGTCTGTCCACACAACTGTATCGTCCATTCACAGATTTGTGAGACTACAATTCCCATCTGCCACCACTGCAGAGGGACTCATCATTCTCATTGGATCGCAATGTGATGACATCACTACCCGTAGTTCACTGATTCTTCCTCCAGCCCAGTAACCAAAGGTCCCAACCTCGTACGGACCTGTGGCTAGAGGTACTGTATAGTCTGTAGCAGCCTGTGCTTATCATTCATTGCATTGCAATTGCAATGCATTGCACTCTCAAATGCAAAAAAAAATAATAAATGCACATTTTTTTAACTCGGTGTGGGTGCATTTATCATTTTTTTTTTGAAAAGGTGGAATAAGTCTTACTACATTTGAACTACAAGATCTGCAGCGGGTCATTTTTTATAATGCCCGTCGCACGTGAAGCAGGTAACGCTAATGAGAACAATCTGATTCGTCCAAAAATCAGTTCAATGATAGCAGTTTTTTTCTGGTCACATTTGTTTCTGGGTTTCCAAAATAACTCTGCTAATTGGACATTTTTTTACAGGCGTTTTACTGGCCATCTAGCAAAACTGGCCAACCAAGTCACTGCTGTGGATTTCATGCAGAACTTTCTTGAGAAAAACCGAGAGGACAACGGTTACCGTGGAAACATCACCTTCCTGCAGGCTGATGTCACCCATTTAGAATTTCCTGATAACAGGTACATCGGGGGCCCTAGGATACCTATTGACTGGGATATCACTTGCTGTCAAAATAAGACATCCAATTAATTTATTAGATGTTTAATTGCAGAGTACTATAGTGATTTGTGTTCTCTTTTATTTTAGTTATGATTTTATCTTCTCTAATTGGCTCTTCATGTATCTGAATGATACTGAGCTAATGGCACTGATACAGAAGATGTTGGGATGGCTGAAGCCTGGTGGTTATCTCTTCTTTAGGGAGTCCTGTTTCTTTCAGTCAGGTCGGTATTAGACAGATATATACATTTCTATTAAAGTGATACTAAACCTAAAAACGTGTATTTACCTTAATGCATTGCTTGCATTGAGGTAAAAAACGTTTTTAAGTTCCTTGTACTCCCCCCTCCCTGTGTGAAGGGGAAGAGAGGGGAGAAGAGACCAATGGCTGCATCTCTTCTCTCACTTCCTCTTCACACAGGGACTCGAACAGCAGGAGTCATTGGCTCTTGCTGCTGTCAATCAAGTGCAGTGAAGAGGACGGGGATGGGGTGGGGCAGGGCTAAGTCCCACTGTTTTCCTCTATGAAGCGTGGCTCCGTAGACACACAGGTTGGAAACAAGCAAGCACGCAGCGGTTGTCCCCATAGCAAACAGCTTGCTATGGGGACACACATAGAAGAGGAAGAGCCAGGATTACCAGTGGCGGACCTAAGAAGAGGAGGATCTGGGCCACTCTGTGCAATACCACTGCACAGAGCAGGTACCGTATTTTTCGTTCCATAAGACGCACTTTTTTACCCAAAAAATATGGGGGAAAATGTCTGTGCGTCTTATGGAGCGAATACTGAGCAGTCCTCCACCTGTCACCGCTGCCGTGTTAGGGCCAGCGGCTGTCCCATCCCACTGCAGCCTGTCACCGAAGTTCACCCTACCTTATCCCCTCTCTCAGCGGGCTGTCCCCGCTGCTCTTCATAGCAGGCAGTCCCTTTGCCGAACCCAGCTTGCTCTGCAGTCTGGTCCGCCCTGCAGGCGTGGCCTGTCCTTGGAGCTCCTCCCCGCTCCTGGCATTTCTATGTACTGCGCTCCCTGCTCTGCAGTCTGGTCCGGTCTGCAGGTGTGGCCTGTCCTTACAGCTCCTCCCCGCTCCTGGCATGTGTCCATAGTGCGTTCCCTGCTCTGCAGTCCGGTCCTATCTGCTGGGGTGGCCTGTCCTTGGAGCTCAGTGCGCCCCCTGCCTTCTATAGCCTGCCTTCTGTAAGTTAGAAATGACAAATGCTGGGAGTTGTAGTCCTTTTCCTTGATGTATGGTGTCAGATCATTTGATATTCTGGGTGGAGGGGCCCTGTTGGGATTTTATATGATGTAGTATGTCCGCAGTCTCTGTTCATCTCCTGTACTGTGTCCGCAGTCTCTGGTCATCTCTTGTACTGTGTCCGCAGTCTCTGGTCATCTACTGTACTGTGTCCGCAGTCTCTGGTCATCTCCTGTACTGTATGTCTGCAGTCTCTGGTCATCTCCTGTAGTATGTCTGCAGTCTCTGGTCATCTCCAGTACTATGTCTGCAGTCTCTGGTCATCTCCCGTACTATGTCCACAGTCTCTGGTCATCTCCTGTACTGTGTCCGCATTCTCTGGTCATCTCCCGTACTATGTCCGCAGTCTCTGGTCATCTCCTGTACTATGTCCGCAGTCTCTGGTCATTTCCTGTACTACTGTACTATGTCTGCAGTCCATTGGTTCAGAATATTATTTTTCTAGTTTTCCGCCTCTAAAACCTAGGTGCGTCTTATGGTCAGGTGCGTCTTATGGAGCGAAAAATACGGTAAGTATAACATGTTTGTTATTTTAATTTAAAAAATTTTGCCTTTACTAACACTTTAAGTTGACCGTTATTACAGTCCCCATGAATCACATTGCTGGCCAAACAGTGATATAAAGACCCCCAGCAGTGAGCCAAATGTTACCCCCTTCACGCTGGTGCCTCGCGGCCTTTTATGGGGTTTCTGAGGCAGGGTGGGTTTAAGGTCATGTGACCGCTGTGATTAGCTGTCATGGCAGTCACATGATCGGAAAGGTCCCGATCGCAAGGAGAGATCGGGACCTTTCCGTGGGACACTGACACGTGCTGGGAGCACGCAGTTTGTTTACAGTAGGTGCGAAAATATGCAGCCGCTCGGCTTCGAGGCCCAGCCGCTGAGAGGCTGCATATTTGCGTACAGTTGGCGTGAAGAGGTTAAAAAATATTGTATGACAGCCAGTTGAATTGTTTTTTTAATTTAGATTTTGAAGATTAGTTAAATATTTTTCTGTTACACAGTATTACTGTAATGAAATTAGACCCATGTGTGGCTGGCTGCTGCATAGTGTAGAAATCTCGCTGCCACCACAATCCATGTGTTGCATTGCCTCCCTCCTTTTAGAAACTACTGCATGGTGTGGTTTAAAAAGGTTTAAGGTCATATTAATAGTTGAATAAAATTATTTTGGAGCTGTGTATGAAGATCAGTGTCACATTTTTCATTCACAGGGGATGCTGAAAGAACATTTAACCCTACAGTTTATCGTACCCCTGCTCTGTATAACCATCTGTTGACATCAGTCACTTCGAAGTCTGGAGACAATGGTTTTGAAATTGTGATGTCAAAGTCTGTGCAGACATATATTAAGGTGAGCAGATGTTTTACATACTTTATTCTGCCACACCTATCATTAACAGGAAACTTTCAAGATCAACAGCAGCCTGTTCCTCTCTTCGCCTTAGGGAGTCTTTCATCTGTCATGTTGGATTGCACTAATATGAAAATTATTGGTGCTTACTATATGTTGCATAACAATAATTTTCTGTCTTGTGATTATCACACATTTTATGTTGATGATTGATTTGATATCACACAAGAAGAGTTGCACTGCTTCAGTATATCAAGGACTCTAAAAGTGAACCTGTACTCTGCACTTTTAAAATCCCAACCATGGCACTACCTGCCTGGAGTTCGCATGTTCTCCCTGTGCCTGTGTGGTTTTCCCCCTGGGTACTCCGGTGTCCTCCTACACTCCAAAGACATGCTGGAAGGTTAATTGGCTTCTCTCTAAACTGGCCCTAGTATGTGTATGTATGAATGTGAGTTAGGGACCTTAGATTGTAAGCAAACTGAGCAAACTGAGGATTAGCGACTGATATGAATGTGCAATATATGTAAAGCGCTGTGTAAATTGATGGCGCTATATAAGTACCTGTAATAAATAAATAAATGAAAATGAAAAAACCTGCCTTCAACGATCCTGTCGGTCACCTAAAAAAAATGAGCTGAAAGTCTTCTGCAAAAAAAAGAGTTTTTGCAATCGCCTCTTTGAATCGCCTCTTCAGCAGCCCTTTTCTCCCTACCTTCCCACTATTCCAGAGATGCAGCCTTTGCTAGTCTTTTTGTTAACCTTTACATAGTTACATTGTTAGTCTGGCTGAAAAAAGACAAAAGTCCATCCAGTTCAACGATAGAAAAAAAAAAAGTTATAATCCTATACCCACAGTTGATCCAGAGGAAGGCAAAAAAAACCAGCAAAGGGAAGCTTGTAGTTTATTCATCCACCCACACAGCCGTGCCAATTTTAAAAGTGACAGTGGAACCCCCACCCACTTTCACTGGGTTAAGGGGGCTACTCTGGGTGAAGCTGGAACCTGTTATATGTTACACCTTAAATAGGGGTATAATATTTTCTGAAAGGTGTACTTAGCCTTTAAGTGTCTGATGCCTGTGTCCCCCATTGCACTGCGGATCCATTCTACGAACCCTACATCACTGATGAGAAATGTACTTATGTATGGTCTAAAGGATGGAACCACCATGACTGGCAGGGGAAACAGACATCCAGATGACAATTTTTAGCTCCTTCAATTTTTTTTTTACAATTGTAGGAGCCTGTTGAGCAAGAGGGGATTGATAGGGCCACCCCCTGAGCAAATTTTGACTGGTTCCTCAGGAACCAGCTGAAATTCGTACAGTTTATGGCCATCTTTAAGGCCTGGTTCTCACCTATGTGTTTTCCAGTGCATTATCAGTTTTGCAGAAATGCACTGCTGTCCATTTAACATGGTTTCCTATAGGTCATGTTCACATCTGTGTGTTTTCCACCAGTTTTTTCAAAGGGTCAGGGACTTTTTTTTACACACAACAGGTTGCACTTTTGCTTTTATAGATTTCAATGGAAACACATCAAAAATGTTGTGCTTGCATGTTCTATGCGTTTCTGCTGTGTTTTTTCTGGTTTCGCCATCAGACAACAAACACCTCCCAAAAAAGCAAAACATCAAAATACTCATGTGAAAAAATGTGTTCATTGTACTCATTTTTATAAATGACTCTCACTGTGTACTGCAGGACATGTTAGAATTTCTGTTTCAATACTGTCTATTGTTGGAGTCCTCTATTGTAACTTTTCATGCTTTATGATGTTTAAACTGTTTGGTGTTTATTGAAGAACACTCCTCTATACACACACCACCTACGTAATTTTCCTTCCCTTTTCATGCTTTTTTTTCCAAGTGCTGCATCTGTTTTATATATACCCCACTCTGTTTCTGGGTATCACATTTATGTGTAAACGAAAGTTAAAAGCCCACACTGTGTTTACAGATAAAGAAGAATCAGAACCAGGTCTGTTGGCTACTGCAGAAGGTCCCCCGGGAACCTGATGGTCACCAGGGCTATGTGACATTTCAGAAGTTTCTGGATAATCAGCAATATTCCCGAAGAGGAATCCTCAGATATGAAAAGATATTTGGGGAAGGCTTTGTGAGCACTGGAGGGCTGGAAACCACTAAGGTGAGGCCTGGTTTAAATTTTGAAGGCAGTTGAAATAGATTTTGTTATATCGGAAACACTGAAATGTGTGTTTATTACAAAATACAGGCCACCACTTAAAGGTACAGTAGGTTTCATGGAATAACACCTGGTATGAACTAGGAGCATAGCTAGGGAGCACATAGAGGTAGATCACACTGGGCCTGTTGTACAGGGCATTTATTGAAGGGGTTTTAGCACACAATAGGATAGAAGAGAATTAAATGAAGTTAATAAATACAAAAAGCATGGGTCAAAGTTCCAACAAATCACAAAATAGGAATTCAGGAGTGCCAGCATTAACTATGCTCATGTCAAGGTAGCACCACATCCAAAGATCCCAGTGTCCAGATTGCAGCACACAGCCAATACAAGACTGCACATTCCAGTAGTCCCAATCCAACTAGCAATGCACATGGCCAACATGGAATGGTCAGTCCCAGCTCTTCTAAGCTCTTTCTAGTGTCCTCAAGTGCGACCCTGTAACCATCTCTCACTTTTTTCGCTAAGCACAGGTCTTTAATATTGTACCTGGAGTTCAATCAGAGACCTAATCCCAAATTACCAATGCTGAGATTGTCTGTCTATGTCCTGGTATATGTTGAATCCTATGCTCCATGCTGAATCTCCAGACTCCCTGTATGGACACAGGAACCTACTGTATCATTCAATTATGCACATGAGCTGACTGATTTACACAGTTTTTCATGTAACCTATATTTTACACAGACTGCTGATTTTACTCTAACATCTAAAAATACTGACCTATAATAAAAGACCTATAGTTGGTCATGTATGTTAAGAATTCTCCCGTTCAGCCTCTTGGGCTGAACAAGAAAAATCAATTGATTCCTCCATCCACGCTAAATAGTATGGATGGATGCACCTGTAGTGCTGACTGTTGTATTCTGATAATACCCGAACAATGCCTGCATTGGTTTAGATGCAGACGGTTTTCAGTCAAAATTTTCCATATGGAAAAAAAAATGATTTTTCTTGAGCCAATGAACGCTGACAAGGCCACCAAGGGAATCAATTTCGGACAATTCAGCAGGGATCAGCAAAATAAATTCTGTATATAGCCAGCCTAGGTTCTACCATTGTGCTATTAAATGCCTGGTGCACCAGGTGACTCCTCTAACCATATTATGTGTTCATCTATGGATTCCCAATGCTGATATGGTTTAGACCAGTGGCTGGCAAACTGTGGCCCGGCCATTGAATGTGGCCCTTTGCTTGCCTTTATCTGGCCCTTGAAGCATTATTCTTGCCACTGACACCAACAATGGGGCATAATTCCTGCCACTGACACCAACAATGGGGCATAATTCCTGCCACTGACCCCAACGAAGGGGCACTATTCCTCCCACTGACCCCAACAAAGGGGCACTATTCCTCCCATTGACACCAAAGATGGGGCACTATTATTCCAAATGACACCAACAATGGGGCACTATTTCTCCAACTTACACCAGCGATGGGGCACTATTCTTCCCACTGACACCAAGAATGGAGCATAATTCCTCCCACTAACACCAGTGATGGGGTGCTATTTCTCCCCCTAATACCAAAGATGGGGCATTGTTTACATACACTGGGCACAATCCAGCCCCCCTAAAGACTAAAGGACAGTAAACTAGTCCTTTTGGAGACCCCTGGTTTAGACTATTCCTCATAACACAAGTGTAGAGTGGTACAGCTTTTTGGATTAGGTTTCAGTTAATGGAACTGCACTGAAATGTTTTAATCATGCTACATACTTTTAATTATTTCTTCTTGCAGGAATTTATTTCCATGCTGAACCTTATTCCTGGTCAGCGGGTCATTGATGTTGGTTGTGGCATTGGTGGAGGAGACTTCTACATGGCCAAGGTAGATTTGTGTTCTTGAAATGCATACAGGGCACTGAGCTTACCTGCTATAGAGCTTCAGCTTTTCCTATAGGATTAATGTACCAATCCAACCCACTACCATTTGAGATCTGGGAAATCGGTTTGTTTAGCAGATTATAATGCAGGAGAGATATTCCCAAACACATCCACTTAAGGATGAACATAACTCTGGAAGCTGCCAACAAAGTCAGGCTGAGGACAGAGACCTGGTCAGCAGTATTGCCTTCAGGTTGTCTTTCCCCATTACAATGCCTTGTTCTGGACTTTGTCTTCTTGTAGGGGGTTATCTTGGTAGAGGCAGAGCTTTTGCTTCCTCATTTCAGAACCTCAGCAAGGAGAACCATAAGCAACAAAGTGGTGACCTCACCAAATTTCATACTAACTATCCTCCTGACACCAGCAGGCAGAGACAGCGGAGCATGATTAACATTTCTGAATATGCCCTAAAACTGATCAAATCCATTACCTTTTGAGTTCAGGTCCGCTTTAAGCCCTTTGCTGTTTTTTTACACTCAGAAAACCCAAACTACTCATTAGTAGACATGCAGAGAAAATATTATTTAATGAACTTATTTTTTTGTATTTGTTGCTTGTTTCATTAAAAGAGAAGTATTTTTTTTTTTTTAAATCATACTTATCTAGGTAGATGCAGCATTGTTTTGATGCTGCATCTATTCCCCGCCGGCTCTAAGGGTGAGAACTGAGTAAGTAAACATCGCTGATCACTCAGTTCTCCCCTTCTGCTCTGAGCAGAGAGCTGTGACTGTCAGTCACTAGCTTTTTGCTCTGCCTCTCCAGCACTCACTGAGAGGCTGAGCCAGGTGCCAGTTCAGGCTCCTGAGTGGATCCTGACCATATGGTTGTGATCCTTCTCCAGTCTGGACCAGCTCTGTAATGTCTTTGACGAAAAACAGGTCACAGGAGTGCAGAATGAACTGCACTCCTGTGATCCACAGGAAAAGTAGAGCCAAACGATCTTTGGCTCTACTTCTTTAATTGATAGTACAGGTTTTATATATCACCAACAGTTTGCGGAATGCTTTACAAAATGTAGGGAGACCGTACTGTTACAATACAGTTCAATGCAAGCGGGACCAGATGGCCCTGCTTGCTAGAGCTTCTGTTCTAAAAAGCATTAGGATCTGGCAACTCCTTTCCTGTTGCTATGTTTTACTGATACACCTTGGGAGCTATCACACTTACTGGCTGGGAACAGGGACACAAGGACCTGGGGGTATGTTTTACATGCCATTTTTGGGTCAGTAACAGGAAGGAGAGACCAGTGAATTGTCTTTTACTGATCTCCCTCTGCTCTACCCAACGGCAGTTGATGGGTGTGCTTAGTCTGGGAAACATGGCAGGGGTGCAAACATGGGAATGGATGGGGGGGTGAATATCTTGCAGCTTGCTTTCAATTGACAGCTGACAGTGGTCAGATTTACACACACTGCTGCCACTGAGAGTGTGCATAAACCTGCCACCAAAGCCACCAACGTTATTTCTTCATCGATGGCAGTAAAGGGGTTAAATGGTATAAAAGTTCAATTTCCTGAATCTGTAGATTTTGTTAATTTGACAGACCCTGTACATAAAGCTAAACTGTATTAGTCTTTTTGGCTTGGTTATAAATTTTTTTTTCTCTCTACCAAGACGTATGGGGTGGAAGTCCTGGGGATGGACCTGTCGTCTAACATGGTAGAAATTGCCATGGAAAGAGCCATAACAGAGAAGACTCCTCTGGTAAGTGATACATCTGAAGCTATTTAGGGGCTTTATTTGTTACATTTTATTATAAACTGATTATTTGTTCCTTGGTTATTGAAATGACATTTTCTCCCTCCTCAACAGGTCCAGTTTGAAATTGGAGATGCCACACGACGGATCTTCCCAGAAGCATCATTTGATGTGGTGTACAGCAGAGACACCATCCTGCACATCAATGACAAGAGAGCCCTCTTCGAGAGATTCTATGTAAGTCAATTAACTGATTCAACTGTATGCTCTGCATTTAGGGGCTGATCTATGAAACTGAAGAAAAAATCTGAACAAAACTATATAGTGGTTGCCCTAAGCAGTGTGGAAGTGTAGATTTTTTGCCTATAAAGGAAACCTGTACCAGACAAATATTATTCTGCCATTGCTGACCTCTCTTCCTGTTTGGCTATTATTCTGCTTTAGTACTTTCAGATTTACTGGCCTGCATAGTCATACAGGTTAGTCTTTCCTACTTTCCTAAGCTGCACATTTGTTCCATGTCAGTGTCTTGGAAAGTAGTGGAGTCCAAGAAATCCAGGCAATTAGGATTTTCAAAAAAGAGGCCAGCAGTGTTTTCTCAGCACAGTATTCTGTTAGGATGATCAAATTCACATACACTCCTTAAATCTTTAGACCAACCTTTCCAACACAGAGGAATCTTTGAAATAACTTTCCAGTCTCAGTCCCTTCTAAAATTACTATAGCTACTCATGTCTCATAACTCATGATACATTAGTGTGATGGTCAGTGTGAGGAATGTTCCTTACACTTGTGGTTAGTGGGAAGAATTATCCCCGTATAAATAGCTAAAGAGATCAGTGGTGTTAGTGGGAACTCTGAGGGTAGAAACTGTTAATTGCCCAAGGAACCCCTTGTAATCTCTGCAGGAACTCTAGTTGAGAAACCTTGGTTTAGTCCAGTGGTCTCCAAACTGCAGCCCTTTGCTTGCCTTTAGAAATTATTCCTGCCACTGACACCAACAATAGGGCATAATTCATGCCACTGACACCAACAATGGGGCATAATTCCTTCCACTGACAACAAAAATGGGGCTCTATTCCTCCCATTCACACTAACTATTTCTCCACCTAATACCAAATGGTTTACTCCCACTGGGCACACTCCGGCCCCCCTGAAGTCCAAAGGGCAGTAAACTGGCCCTTTCTTTAGAAATTTTGGAGACCCCTGCTTTTAGTCTAATAGAATGTTTATAAAGAGACAATTGTGATTTTTTTCCCCTGAAGTGTTTGCCTTCTTAAAGTGTATGTAAACTCAAATTTTTTTCTAATTTGCTCCCTTTTGGTCTTCAGAATATACCGTTGAAAGTGCTTTGTCATAACTACTCAATAGATGTAAAAATACCTGTTGATTTGGCCAGAAATCTCATAAGTCGATAACTTCCTGTGCGCTCTCACTGTACACAAGGAATAGAGATTTAACCTTCACATACAGAAAGGCTTCTTCACTGTGAAAATGTGGAATAGACTCCCTCAAGAACTAGATCAGTAGATTGTTTTAAAAAAAGACCCAGATGCACTCCTAATAATGACAGGGAAAGTTGATGCAGGGATAATCCAATTGCCTTATAGGGGATCAGGAAGGATTATTTCCCCCAGTGGAGCAATTTGGATCACGTTTCATTGGGGTTTTTTGCCTTCCTCTGGAACAACTGTGTGTTTACGATCGCCTAAGCTCCCACCTTACAGACAATAACCTCCTTGACCCACTACAGTCCGGCTTCCGTCCCGTACACTCCACTGAAACTGCCCTACTCAAAATCACTAACGACCTACTAAACGCCAAAGCCAAGGGCGACTACTCTGTCCTCCTTCTCCTGGACCTCTCTGCGGCCTTCGACACAGTTGACCACCCCCTCCTCCTTAATAAACTACTCTCCCTTGACATCAGAGATACCGCTCTCTCTTGGTTCTCATCCTACCTATCCTGACGCTCCTTCAGTGTCACCTACAATGGTGCCACCTCCCCCTCCCTCCCCCTCTCTGTTGGGGTCCCCCAAGGCTCTGTCCTTGGACCCCTTCTCTTCTCCATCTACACCTCCTCCCTGGGCAAACTCATACACTCCCACGGCTTCAACTATCACCTCTATGCTGACGACACCCAAATCTACCTCTCCACCCCTCTCCTCACCCCCACTATCTATCTCCCCCGCATCACTCACCTCCTAAATGACATCTCAGACTGGATGTCGCTACATTTCCTCAAGCTCAACCTCTCCAAAACCGAGCTCCTCGTCTTTCCCCCTGCCCACACCCCCCCCCCCCATCCTATCCATAATCACCAACAACTCCACTATCACTCCCGTCCCGCAAGCCAAAGTCCTTGGCGTCATTCTTGACTCGAACCTCTCCTTCCAACCGCATGTCAAATCACTCACAAACACATGCAGGCTCCATCTCCGCAACATTGCCAAGATACGTACCTTCCTCACCCTTGACACCACCAAACTTCTAGTACACTCCCTCATCATCTCACACCTTGACTACTGTAATTCTCTTCTTACCGGCCTACCCAAGTGCAGGCTCTCCCCGCTCCAGACCATCCTGAACTCAGCGGCTAGACTCATCCACCTCACCACCCGCTCCACCTCTGCCACCCCCTCTGCCTCTCCCTCCACTGGCTCCCGATTGCCCAACGCATCAAATTTAAACTTCTAACCCTGACCTACAAAGCCGTTCACAACACTGCCCCTGACTACCTCACCAACCTGATCCCCAATTACCGCCCTACCCGTACCCTTTGCTCCTCACTGGACCTCCTTCTATCCTGCTCCCTGGTCCCCTCCTCCCATGCACGACTGCAGGACTTCTCCAGGTCCTCCCCCATCCTCTGGAACTCACTGCCCCAATCGCCTTCCCTCTTCACATTCAGGCGCTCCCTAAAAACCCATCTCTTCAGGGAAGCCTACCCCACCCTCACCTAACGGCCATTCTCCCTCTTTCCTCCCACCCCTCATTCCCCTCAGCCACTTCCTACTGTACCTTTACCCCCTCCCTCCTAGATTGTAAGCTCGAAAGAGTAGGGCCCTCTTACCCCTCGTACGTTGTTTGTTATTGTTGTACTGTGCCATGTATTGTCCCCCCCTCTATTGTACAGCGCTGAGCAAACCCTTTGGCGCTATATAAACCCGATGTAATAATAATAATAATATAGGATTGTGTATATGGAGTTTTTCTGTTTGTGTGTGTGTTTTTTTTTAATTGGTTGAACTAGATGGACTGAGGTTTTTTTTAAGCTAATTATTTAACTATGTAACAAGGAGGGGTTAAAAGATGAGGAGAGGTTTACTTTCTTTGTAACACATCAGAAATGAAGTAGGCAGGTCTGACACCATGGGCTCAGGAATTCAGACTTGTGGTGTCTCTTCAAAGCGGAAGGTAGGAGTACATTATATTTCTGGCACATCATCTGTCATATTCCTGTACCTGCAGCATGTAAAAAGGTATAAAATGTAGTAAAGTGTTCAAGAGATGTACTATGTCTTGTGTGTGATGTGTTTTCTTTTTTCTTTTATTTTAAGATTTACACTTTAATCAGTTATTCTCTGTTCTTTTCTTGTCCAGTCCTGGATAAAACCTGGAGGAAAACTCTTGATCACAGATTATTGTTGTGGAGAACGGCCATGGTCTCCCGTATTTGAGGAATATGTGAAGCAGAGAGGATATATTCTGTACACACCTGAAGAGTATGGACAGGTATTGCATCTATTGCTTTATTAATCCCAAGGCTTCTTGGGCATTATAGAATTTACTTTGTACAACTTGGTGAGAGTTGAGGGCTACAAATCCTAGACATTCACACTACCAGATTACTTCCCCAGACAGGTAAAGTAGAAACTAGCTACTTAGCGTCCTGTAGAACGCCTGTTGTGATATTGCCTAACAACAAACAGAATAGATGTAACTGATTATTATACAGTATGATTCCATGAAGCAACATACATTTTGTTGATTATTATGCTCTTTATTTAATATGGACAGGGATCAGTGTCTTATTTTCTCAAGATTCCTGCTCCCTGTATTTGTTACTGGTTCATAGTTTAAGTATTTTATAAAAAACAAGAGATAAGCACATTTTTTTTGTCGTCATATTGTGCCACACCACTCATATAGAACAACACAAAAACAAATAGGAGTATGACTTTTTAGGCACTGTATAAAAATTCTCATAAAAATAAATTTTTTTTATTCATGATAATGCACTAAAACAATCATAATAAAAAACAACAGCTGATCAACAACAGAATTTTGTACAAAGACCATCTTATGATCAATGTGATATAACAAATGCAGATCAAGTGGATCAACCCCCTCAGATTCACCTCCCATTTTTTCTTAAATTCATCAGAGACTTTGGTTATATTAGGGAAAATGTGTATTCATAAGCCCATCGGGTTGTATCCTTTTTTTTAATGTATTTTTCAAACGGTTTCATATGCCAAAGTAAGGCTGACTTTTTTCAATTGACTTACTCAAACTGAAAAAAGGAAGGAAAGACCTCCTTCCGGCTTTTAATTATTCTCATTTTGATGTTGATAATTGGGCATCAAATCCTCCCAATTGGTTTCATTAAATTTCTCCATACTAACAACAACAATCCCAAATATATATGGAAAAATACAGAAAATATAAAGGCTCTGGTCAAACCAAAAGTCAGAAGCATGATCAGCCTCCAATCAGAAAAACTTTGCTTTTTTGAGCACACATTTTCCAGAACGATTGTGCTTGACTATTTGAACAGGGATTTTTTAATAGCTGCTCTCTTCATTTGTTAATGATATATAGTTTATGTATTTTATGAAAAACAGGAGATAAGCACTTGTTTTTGCTGGATATTTTTGATACAGCAGCCTTTGTTTGAAGAACTGACTGGATTGCTTTTGCATTCTCTATGGGATTTTTCTTTACTTTATTAATTCCTATAAAATCAGAATTGTTAATAAGAATGATTTGCCACCATGCTGTTCTTTTCTCACTCAAACATATATGATTGGTCATAATTTTATTACCACCCACTGAATGAGTAGGTCCGACATTTGCTGCCATAACAGCACATTTGGTGCCAAAACAGCCCTGGCCTGTTGAAACCTGGATGCCTCTGAAGGTATGCTGTGGTATCTGGCACCAAGCCTTAAGTAGCAGATCCTTTAAGTCCCGTAAGTTGCAAGGTGGGGCCACCATGGATCGGATTTGCCTTTCTAGCACATCCCACAGATACTCAGTGGATTGCGATCTACAGAATATGGAGGCAAAGTCAACATCTCAAATTTGTTGTTTTCCTCAAACCATTCTTGAACCTTTTTGCAGTGTGGCAGGGTGCGATATCCTGCTGAAAGAGGCCACTGCTATCAGAGAATACCATTTCCATGAAGTGGTGTACTCGATCAGCAACAATGTTTAGGTAGGTGGTATGTGTCAAAGTAACATCCACATAATTGGCAAGACCAAAGTTTCACAGCAGAAAATTGTCCAGACCTACACAAGCTTGCCTTCTTCCCATACTGCATCCTGGTGTCATCTCTTCCCCAGATAAGCGAAGTGCACGCAACCGGCAGCACAGTGGCTAAATGTTTAGCACTTCTGCCTGGCAGTACTAGGGTCATTGGTTCGAACCCCAGCCACAGCACCTCCTGCCTGGAGGTTGCATGTTCTCCCTGTGCCTGCCTGGGTTTCCTCCGGGTACTCCGGTTTCCTCCTACACTCCAAAGACATGCTGGTAGGTTAATTGGATCCTGTCTAAATTGGCCCTTGTATATGAATGTGAGTTAGGGACCTTAGATTGTATGCCCCTTGAGGGTTAGGGACTGATGTAAATGTACAATATATATGTAAAGCGCTATGTAAATTGACGGCGCTATATAAGTACCTGAAATAAAATAAATAAATAAATAAAATAAATCCTTATGATGTAAAGGAAAACATGATTCATCAGACCAGGCCACCTTCTTCCATTGCTCCATGGTCCAGTTCTGATGCTCATGTGCCCATTGTAGGTGCTTTTGGCTGTGGACATGGGTCAGCATGGGCACCCTTACCGATCTCTGACTACACAGCCCCATACACAATAAACTGCAATGATCATTTTTTCTGCTTTAAGCACATCAACTTTATAGACAACACGTTTACTTGCTACCTAATATATTCCACTGACCTTCAGATGCCATTGTGACAAGATAATCAGTGTTATTCACTTAACCCATCAGTGGTCATAAAATTATTGCTGATCAGTGTATGAAAATGGGTTAAATACATTTTTTTGGGTTCAATCTGATTTTTATCAATTTTCAAATAAAGAGAAGAAGGGATACAGAACGTAAAAAAAGGAGGGGTGGTGTACAGGTGTTACATCACACAGATAGAATACATCAATACTGGGGGTATATATTAAATATCCTGGTTTGATGGCCTGGCAAGCATAATATGATTGTCTAATGATGAGGGCAACCATAGTTGCCACCGAAGCAGGTCAGACTTCCAAGTAATCAGGTATATATACTAGTGCTAGAATAGCAACTAACCTCCTACAATTGTTCGATACTCTCATTTTTCATACTACATGGACTTTTCAAATACTTAAAGTTTAATAAACTTTAAAATATTAACATTGACGTATAAAGCTGTTCATAATACTGCCCCAACTACATAACCGATCTGGTATCCAAATACCACCCAAAACGTACTTTCCGCTCCTCACAAGACCTCCTACTCTCAAGTTCCCTGGTCTTCTCCTCCCATGCCCGTCTCCAGGACTTCTCCAGGGCTTCCCCCATCCTTTGGAACTCCCTACCCCAATCCATCAGACTATCACCTACTCTCCTCACCGTTAGGCGCACTCTGAAAACCTATCTCTTCAGGGAAGCCTACCCCGCCCTCAGCTAATTACTGAACTCCTCCACTCCTCCTATCACTCCATCCCCCACAGCTATTTCCTCCTGTACCACTATCCCCTCCCTCCTAGATTGTAAGCTCCAAGGAGCAGGGCCCTCAAACCCCTCGTGTTTTGAATCATATTGTTACTTTACTGTCTCGTGTACTGTCTCCCATTATAATGTTATAATGTACAGCTCTGAGCAAGCTGTTGGTGCTATATAAATCCATGCAATCTTACCCCAAAAAGCTCTTGTATGGCACTTCAGGTGCAAAAAATGCACAAACTGCCTACCTCAAAGCGGAAATATGATTGAAAGCTTTAAATACATCAAGGGGTGAATAAGGTTCAGGAAGGCAGTATTTTCAATATGAAGCTTAGACCAAGAACACGAGGACCTCAAACTAGCAGGAGGAAAGTTCAAAACTAATCTTAAAAAGTATTATTTTTACAGAAAGAGTAGTTGATACTTGGAATAGACTTCTAGCAGAGGTAGAGAATCGGTTAACAGTAAGTAGAGTCAAACATGCTTGGAACAAACATAGACCTATATTATACTCAGACAAAAAAAAAAAAAAGTAACAAAAAGAAAAACATATAAATAAAAAAAATGCGTGAGACTCGATGAACTGCTTGGTAATTTTTCTGCCATCATTCTTCTATGTTTCTAAGCTACACTGGTGTTTGATTGGAAACTCATAGTTTGTCCCAAATTCTGTCACTCACTTATGCTGTAGTGCTTGCACTATATGCAATTGAGCAAAATGTTTTCATGAAACAACTTTTTTTATGATAGCGGTTCTTTCATTAAAGTAGGCAGTTTTGTAAAGTAAAAGTATAGCACAGATAAATACAGATTTTTACATTTTTAAATTCTTTTTTTCCCTATAGTTCCTAGAGAAGGTTGGATTTGTAAAAGTTCAAGCTCTGGATCGGACTGAACAGTTTGTACAAGTTCTGAATAAAGAACTCACAAGGACACAGGAAATAAAGCAGAAATTCTTAGAGGTATAATAAAACGGACTGAAACCCTAGAAATAGATTTGTTCCCAATTCATTATTTCTCAGAAAATCCAAAGCAGATGAATTTTTCCATTTCTTTTTTATTCCTTTACAGAGTTTTTCTGAAGAGGATTACAACTACATTATTGATGGGTGGAACGAAAAACTTCATCGCTGCAGTTTAGGAGATCAGCGCTGGGGTTTGTTTTATGCTGAGAAACCTCTGGAGATTGTTGCCTAAAATCTTCTTGTTTAATCTGTCATTATGGATGTTTGAATAGGAATCTGTTTCTGTTTCTATGTTTATACAGTATTTCTAAAAGTAATAATGACATGGATTAATTTCTGTGCCTTTTTCTTATGTATGTTCAATTCAGTGTTTCTATAGAACTTTACAGGCTTTGTATAAAGAGCATACATGGCATAAATGACAACAGATCTCATGCAAAGGTGGTGATATGTGCATGGTTTCAGTTATAATTGGAAAGTGTAATTCCAATTATTGGAAACACATTATGTCAAAATCACAGTTGCAAGGTAAATTCATAAAAAGTGAAACATTTTGCCCTAGGCCTTCAGTCTAAAAGAATTCTCATTTTAGGAAGATGTCTATGGTATAAGCCAACTTAGCCTTGGCTTCAGAGATTACATTCAATGCTGACAATGTGAATGGGATCCAGGCTGCTTACCGTGTTAAAAGTTAAAAACGAATGTTACCAAGGAACATTGTGTGAATTGTAACTGTTAAGACATATTTTCTGCTACCAGTAGTAGCCTTTTGTGATTACCAGTTTGTCAAAAGACCACTGTAAGAATCTGCATTACTACTTAAAATAAGGATTTCAATCAAGAAACCCTTGACCTCTCCCTAAAAATTCTATGCAAGTTACTTATAATTTTATGCCATATACTCAGAATTTGCATCTGAATTTTTTTGCTATTTTACGTAACTGAGTATCTTTAGCTTTGACCCTTACTGTATCTGAAAACTACCTCTCAATTGTAGCCCAATTGGGAAAGATGTTCCCTGCCGTAAACCAGCTTCATTGTAATCACCAATGTCACAAAAGTTGGACAGGTGGCTAAAGCTACTAATCGCATTCCTCATCAGCCGTGATGAAAAAGCAAAGCAAGGTTTTTGACTTGAAAAAAACTGTAAAAATGTAACTTCAGCTGAAAGTGTTTATCTTTTTCAAAATAAAACATTTTTTTGTGGCTTGTGTATGCGTACTTTTGTAGTGCCTAAAACATCATTCTGAAGCTATTCCTGTGTAGTTGCTGTGTGCAATGGTGGTACAAGTCCAATCAGCTAGCAGTGATGGAAAAAAAAAAAAAAATTGTCAAGTCATTCAGGTAGTTACTTCTGTCTTAATGATTGTGGCCATTCTGAACCCTTTTCTTATGCATATAATACTGAAAAGGCAATACTGTAACTGGATGTTAAAAATTTATAGGTGATAACACTTGGGGTAATCGATCCAGGGCATATCTGATTACCTCCTGGGGGATCAGAAAAGATTTTTCTTTTACATTTATCAATGATCGCTGCCTCTCTACTTAATTCTTGACCAAAGAGGGTTTTATAGTACCACCTACAGGAACAGGATTAGGCAGAAAAAACTGCAGCTCCTATGGACAGTTCTTTCAAGGCATAATAGCCCCTCTCTGTTATAGGCAAACTAGTTATTCAGGAGTACAGACCTGGTTCCCTTCTGGGACCTGTGATTCCACAAACCTTTTTTCTGAGGCTCCCTTGGGGTAGTATGGAAGTTAGCATGTTAACCTGTTTCTGGGGTTTTGGTTTCCCATCCTTCATTGGGGCACTGCTTTGGGATATCCCTGTTCGGCCAAGGATCGAGGTTGTGTTCGTCAATGAACAGTAAAGAAAACAGGATTTTTTGTTCCTCACTGTAAAATCCCCTTCTCTGACTTCATTGACAGACAAAGCACCCACCTTTCTGTTGGACGTTTTCTGTGTGACACTGCTTTTCACTAACTGGTTTGCCTATAGCAGAGAGGGGGTTTTATACCAAGAGAGCACTGCCCATAGTAGGTGCTGATTTTTTTTCTGCCTAGTGTCCTACTCCTGTAAGTGGGATGTAGGTTGTACTTGACAAATTAGAGAAGTGTCAGTTTCAGGTTCCTTCCATCTCAGCAAGAGGGCCAAGTCTGCAAACATGATGCAGGCTGCTGAGTTTCGATGGCCTTACAGCCCTCTACATTAGGCATGGTGTGAACTGGGTAAATACTACAAAGCTTAAGACAGCCACTGCCAGGTTTTTCTAATTTTAGGAATCAACCCATAAACTTAATAGAACACTGAATGGTTAGCATGGTAATGGTTAAGGCTGAGGGAACTGGAGTGTGGACATCATCAACTAGGCGGACTAATGTTGATGATTGTGTGCATTCTTTTTCTCTCCTCATTCAGCCTTGGGGAAGCAACGTCCCATTGCAGCTTTTTCTTCTGAAGCACATTGTAGATGAACTGGTCTTTAGTTTTGTTGCAGTGGCCACCTACAGTGACTTGCTCACTTTTTGATTCTTGCAACCCTCATTAGCACCAGCTTCTCATGTCTGAGTATGCAAAGCCTTGCTTCACTTTGGGCCTAGTTTTCCACTACATGGTGCAAATGACCTTTTCAAACACCTTCAGAGGACAGTCTTGCTACCACAGGTGACCTCATCCCATACTGCACTACTGCTCCAAGGTCAATTTCTAATTTTTCCTGGAAAGAACCAATGCCTGTGACCTAGGTCTAAGAACCCCTATTTTTGGACCCCAGGGTCATCCTTTTTGAAGTCTTCTATAAGCTCTGTGTTAGGGACCTGCCGGCGGTAGCCACCAGCATTGCACAGACCGGAATTCCCCAAGGCGTGGAATCTAAGCCCGACCTGCTTGTTCACCAGAGCCCCTGATGGTGGGGATGGACTTGGAGCAGGCCGAAACCAGGTCGCGGCCCCTGGGTGCACCCAGTTGTGGTAGAAGCGCTTGCCGGAGGTATATAGCAGGTGGGAGCCTGATGTAAGCATTTAGAAGGAGCAGAGTCGGGCAGGCCGCGTCGGTAGCGGTGGAGGCAGCATGGTCCAAAACAGTAGACAGAAGGATGAGCCGGGTTCGGTAACAGGAGATCAAAACGTGTGGGATTAGACAGGAGAATGGTCAGGCAAGCCAAGGTTCAGAGCAGGAGACAATCAGCACATCAAGGCCAGGCAGGGTCCGCAACAAAGCAATCTTAAATCAGGAACACAGGATACAGGTAAGAGCATATGGCAATTAGAGCACAGACCTGACCTGTTTTAAATAGGGCACCCTGCACCCTGATTGGTGCCAGGCGCACGTCCGCGAGTGCACAGTGCACATGCGCGACCACCGCTGCTGTCACGGGTGCCCAGGTCCCAATACTCGCACGCTAGTGCGGCCCGGCATACCACGCATGCGCAGACCCCTGCACAATCGTGGACAAATCTGGGGTCCCTGACACTCTGCCTCATGAGGCTCAGACTTCCCTGTGCCGACAAGACCCGCTACTGTCCACTTTGGATTTTTTGTTGTTTTTTTGCACAACTAAAAAAAAGCTCCAGGACAGGCAAAATCACCCATTTGTACACCCCCCTACACTAAACAGTAAATACATTTGTGAAATTACTTACCATTGAAGAGAAAAGTCTAATTGAATTTTCAGGAAGATATCACTGTATTTCAAAAGATAACAGCATCTGCTCTGCCAAGGAGATTTAACAGCAGGGATTACATCACATCCTCTCCTCTCTACAGTAAAAGCAAACTACATTTCCCATCAACCTCTTGGAATTGCATTGAATGTGGGTGGGTACACTAGGCCTATACATATTGAATGTGTACTTGCCCACTTCAACATAAATCACGCCCCCTCATTCTCCAGCCACACTGCTCAGCACTGCACAGGAGGACAGTTGGGTGACAATCTTATAAATGTAAATCATGCATGTACAAAATGTTTAGTTCATTCTATGTAGTTTACTTTAATTAAATATTTAATTCTACCTCCTGTAGGTTTTCTGTTACTGGCTGTGGCCGATATGTTCACCTGCGATCACAGACACAAGAAGTCCTCCAGTAGTGTCACAGGGACAGGAAGTGAGGGGAAGTCTCCATCCAGTGAGTTCACAGAAACAGAAAGTCTTTCAGTAGGTTCACAGAAACAGGAAGTCTTCCAGTGGGGTAACAGAAACAGGAATTCTCCCTCTAGAGGGGTCACAGGGACAGGAAGTGAAGGGAAGTCTCTCTCCAGTGGGATCACAGAAACAGTAAGTCTTCCAGTGGGGTCACAGAAACAGGAAGTCTCCCTCCAGCGGGTTCACAGTTTCAGGAAGTCTCCCTCCAGTGGGGTCACAGGGTCAGGAAGTCTCCCTCCACTGGAATCATAGAAACAGGAAGTCTCCCTCAAGTGTGTTCACATAAACAGGATGTGAGGGGAAGTCTCCCTCCAGTGGGGTCACAGAAACTGGAAGCCTTCTTCCAGTGGGTTCACAGGGACAGGAAGTGAGGATAAGTCTCCCTCCAGTGGGGTAACAGAAAGTCTTACTCCAGTGGAATCTCAGGGTCAGGAAGTGAGGGGAATTTTCCCTCCAGTGGGGGGTCACAGATACAGGAAGTCTCCCTCCAGTGGGGTCAAACAGGAATTGTTGGGAACACTCCTTCCATTGGTGTCACAGAAACGCAAAGCGAGAGGAAGACTCCCTCCAGTGGTGTCAGAGGGACCCTCTGACTCTACTGGATGGAGACTTCCTGTTCCCTCCAGTGGGGAAACAGACACAGGAAGTATCTCCTCTGCACACATGTTCTATCACTGTATCTCCGCTGCACACATGTTCCATCCATGTATCTGCTCTGCACACATGTTCCATCGCTGTACTCTTTCTGCACACACGTTTGATTAATGTACTCTCTCTGCACACATGTTCCATCCATGTATCCCTTCTACACACATGTGGGGACACAGGAAGTATCTCCTCTGCACACATGTTCCATCCATGTATCTGCTCTGCACACATGTTCCATCACTACTCTGCACACATGTTCCATCCCTGTATCCCCTCTGCACACGTTTCATTGTTGTACTCTTTTTGCACACATGTTCCATCACTGTACTTTCTCTGCACACATCTCCCATCACTGTACTCTCTTTGCACACATGTTACTCATTGTTTTACTCTTTCTGCACACATGTTACATCCCTGTACTCTCTCTGCACACAT